AAACACCTGTCTTGATGACATATTGGGAGTTTTTTGTTTGAAAATCAAATGTAATGTCTTTGGAACTACAAGGGCGTCGGCTCTGTCCTAGAGTATGCAGGTCGACGCCCTTATGGCTGCACAAAAATAAGATGTTGCCAATTTAAAATTATGCAATTTGTTTATTTAAAAAAAATCTCTCTTTAACACCAACTAATGTATTGGTGGTGTGAACTGGTATCTTTTGAAGGATTCTGGGCCCCGTTTCACAAAACTTGTCATCAGTGATAAATGACAGCTGTTGTTATAAGCTACTGAAATCCTTGCTTCTGATTGGTTATCAGCAGATTTGTCACTGATTATTGTCATTTGTCATTGAAAAAAGGCTTTGTGAAACGGGTCCCTGATCTCATGGGACTACTGTGTTTTCGCAGCAAAAGTCTAAATATTTGAAGCAGATAAGTACGGGAGAGATGCCAATTTAAAGATTTAATATATTACAGATTCAGAATGGAGGTTTACCTTGCCAAATGAAGGTCTTCATATATTGCTTATGAACAATAAAAAGATGACAACTCTTTTCTTTAATTCAAAAGATCAATCAAACTGGTTTATACAAAAGATGTAAGTGTTTTTCTCCCCATTACTTATAATAATTATTTAGTTGACAATATATATACTTTGGAATATGAAAGTAAACAGAAAAACTCTTCGCTGCCCAATTTTTTTTTCAAGCTGAATTGAAAATGCTTTGTATTCTTGGAAGTAGGATTTTAAAAGGATTTTAGTACCTGTAAATGAACGTAATCTTATTTAAAATGGATAGATGAACGAGGGAAAATAGGACCCAAAAGTTGTTATATGACCTGTAGGTTTTATGTAGAGGAGAGGCAATACCAGATTTTAATTGTATTCACTTCTAATTTATGATTGTTAGTCGTCATCCATTGACTTAGTATGCTCTCACAGGAATTGCTTCTGGCGCAAACTCAGAGAATAGCACATACATTTTGAATATGTGGTTGAGAGAAAATTACCATTTTCTTCTCAAATTTGACATCTTTTCTTTAAGATACCAAAGTTTAAATTGTTGTTTGAGTCATTGTTGGCATTAATAGGCAATTTAATATTTTAAAGTGATGAATATGAATAGGAAAATTGAACCAGATGTGCATATAATGTCATAAGAATTATGGACCAGTATGCAAATTCGAACTGCCTCATGAATATTCATAGGCTAGACTAATGTGAATTCAAATTCAGTGTCTTCAAATGTAATTTAGAAAAGCTCTATTTAGGGAAGGAAAAGACAAAAAGACTCACAAGTGCCTATATGTTAGAATTGAAAAGAGACAAAGATTTACTATGGAATTAAGACATTTTTTAACAACAAATTATATGTTATTTCTTATTTTGTTTCTTTTAAGTTGCCCGAATGATGTGTTTGGGGGAATAATTGAGATAATAGCTTTTGTTTGTCATTGGTGAGTCTTTTGTGTTTTTTGTGAATTTTTGTACCATGTAGTGTACAAAAAAAAAAGACTGCAAAAGATTATGCTTTTCATTCATCTTTTGTACAAATAAAAGAAAAAAAAGTTTGCAGAAATACACAAAATAAAACTTTCGTCTCGCTTTTGTTGTCTACCTCGTTATAGAATATTTTATTGTGAAAATATACAAACACAAACAAGATATTACAAGCAAATATAATATAATTGTAAGTACACAAAATGAAGGGTAGTGAAGTGAATACATGGTTTTCATAAGTCAGTAGCAAAGATATAAAATTGTGAAAGTAAGTCATCACTGTGATTAACTAAATTATTCATACCCTTACCAAGTTATGTAATTTTTTTAAGTACATAAGTGAAAGTTTCTTAATGTTACATCTTCAAGATTACACCTATAAGTATTCAACATAGGTCCTAATTCATTGTGTCAACCTTTCATTCTTGAGTTATGAAAAACACAAAAAACCTCAAATTTACAAAGGGAATGAATAATTTAGTTGTGTTAACTATATGTAAAACACTGCCTAATATGCTTGATATTCATATATTTTTAATGTGAATTTTTAATCATATTGAATACAGTCTTGGCAAGAATGGACTAAACATACATCAATTGGAACATTTTGACCAACAAAGAAAGCAACGGTTATATCACAGAGGAACATTACTAGAAACCTTTCAGCATCGAACTGTTTAGCGACCCTTTTTTTAAATGTTTCAATTTTTCACCCAAAATAGTTAATTAACTAATCTCTTGTAGTTTTTGTCAAAAATGATTAATTTTCAATTTTTCATGAAGTATTTACTGCACTTCCCTACTTTGACTAGAGAGGGTGGTTATTATGGTAAATTGATGAAAAACAATACAAAATTACCATTTTGAAGAAGAAAAAAAATGTAATTTGAATCTTTTTGAGTCACTTGCTTTTCAGGACGGAACTGTTAAATGACCTCTTTTATTTGTTGTAAATTTTTCACCAAAAATAATAGTGAATCTAAAACTAAATCAAATAATGTAGATCAGTGATATATAACATCAGTCAACAACTACCTATCTGTAAATGTATGAAAGGCTATTGTTTACAATTGCACAGTATATATACAACAACAAATTTTAAAGAGACATTTTTAGAAGAAAGCATGTTCTTGATGGGGGAGGGAGGGGGGGGGGGGGGGATGAGGCCGATATATTGATCTGACTGGATTGATACATACATATGGTCAAAGCCTCTGTTCCATGTCAATCGACCGAGCTTGTAGAGGAATGGTTTTGGCAGTGGTTTGGGAATGTTCTACAACTATGACAACAAACTTTTAACCGAACAGAAACAAAAAGGAAGTAATCGATATCAAGAGTTGACTGCAAACCTAGTCGGACAATAAGAAGTGCATTTCATACATGTGGTGTTGGTGATATCATGGTTCTGGACCTTACTTGAGGAACCTTGTGATAAGAGTTACTGTGGACGTAAGTGACTATGTAGGAGGCCCATTTTATAATTTTAAATAATAATTAGATAAATTTGTAAACTTGTGATGAAAACAACAGTGCTACTTTACAAACGTACAATACAAAACGATTCAAACGCCCCTGAAAACAAGGGTTTCTTCAAAAAAACTTTGAAGATAGCAACAGATAAAGGCTATCAAAAGCCAAAAGGCTATGATGATGCCCCCCCCCTCCCAGAAAAGAGTATGTAAAATGTTATGACAGGTTTTTTATTTCTTTACGGAACTCTCACCACAAGTGTGTCATTTTTAGAGAAGTTGCCACCTGTAAATTATTTTCACTATATATTCAAACAAACACAAAATCTGGAAAACAAATGGTTATACCAGTACTTGAAACATGATTTTTGATACTTCTCCAATAAGTACAGGTTTTATATAAAGTCTATTTTTGGGTGATTGAACAGTTTATACTGCTCACATCTATATAATTTAGTCTATGAATGAGCAGAAGTCTGGTCCAGGCCAAGTCCAGCATAGCCCAGGCCCCATGTGTGTGTATATGTATATCTTGGATATATTCTTTTTGCCCCCAAAGCAGGTCTAGGAATCCCTTGTCTTTATTTTCTGCACTAGGCAAAAAATACTGAGGAGATCTGTTACATCTGGTCCACAGTTAAACCAAGACCCCGTCTTACAAAGAGTTACCATTGATCCAAATCAATCGCAAGTTTGCAGACTCCTATCTCTAGTCTTAAAGGGATCGTTTAACAATGTTAAATCTGAGATACACGGCCCTACGTGTTATCAGTGTCTGTGATATGGTGTAAAATTGAAGCCCTAAAAAAATTGCGCTTCAAAATGATCAAGAAGTGCCTCAAAAAAGTAAAAACCTTTGAGTGACCGGTTTTACCATACTCGTTTTCCCCAATAGACTGTAGTGTTATGAAAACCGTCAGGCGAACGGTTTTCAAAATTTGTAATTCCAATCATAAATATGTTGATAATCAGACAGGCGATCGGCTTGTAAAAGTCATGGGGTTCCTGACTGACCTAAAGGTTTATAATTATCATTGCACCATGAGCTAAATCCAGAATTTTGTTTCAGAATCTGAGACAAAGTTACCGGATCCCTTTAAAGGTAATACAAAGTTTTGGGAAATTTTGAAAATTTGGTGGATAGTGATTCTTTACAATTTTAATATATTTGGATGCCCCTGTGGATGTATTATAAGCTCTAGAAAACTTAGCCCTTAAAACACTTCTGCTTTCGAGAAAAATTTAGTATACAAATTTACTGGTGCTCCCAGTAAATTTTGATAAATTTCAAATAGCGCCTACGGCCATACGATGGTAGCTGCGACCATGAACATTTCAGAACGTGTAGTTGTGATATATAATTCTGAAACGGGAATAGCTAATCGGTCGTTTTCAGTCAAGATACATTTTTTATAGCTTAATTAATATCTTGACCTTGAGAGGGAGCTATACAACATAAAGAGTTTATTATTTACAATTTCATAAGTTAAGACTTGATTTCAACCGCGACAACGATCACTGAATATTGTAAGATCGCATATGCTTCCAATATGTTAATTTGAACCAAATTCATTGCCCCATACCAAAACTTTGTATTACCTTTAAGTACATAGTTGCAATTGATATAAATCGCAAATATGTTGCGCTTAATCACAACTATTTATAAGACGGGGGCCCAGGACTTCTTTCTAGTCCTGGTCTTGCTTCCATGCTTGTGCTGTGGAAGTTTTAGAGCCAGGACGAATGGAGCTAACTAAAACACCACTAGTCTTGTTCCACTTCAATATAGATCTATCCCCATGTTGGGCTGTGTCACTTTCCGTCACATTCCGCATCAAAGCCAAGGAAGTATCTTTGCCACAATAATCTACAAGTTTTTCAGACATTACTTGCCTTTTACACTGTAGAATGATAAAATATCCTATTTCCACACAACTGGACTGCTATTACTTTGATCAATTAGAATTTTAAGTGGTTTTGGCCGGCAATCTTACTCATTTGCAAACTCTCAATCATGATCAAGAACGCACACTCGCCTCGTAGGTAGTCACAGCGAAACAGACGTAAGATGTGCAAAGTTATCTATCTATAACCTTACACACATATGTGAGTGTGTTCTTGCTTCAGATTCCTCTTTCATGACATCAAAATGAAGGGGTGGGACAGTGGTCATGAATCGCCAAAGCTCTGCAGTTGTTTCGGCTTGAAATTCCGCACTGATATTGAGAAGGTTGATTTGGCTGTAGAGCAAAACAAAATTGAAAGAGAAAAAAATGAGAAACCACCAACAATTTTAAAACACCTCACCTTATAGTGACATCATATTGTAATTTTTGATCCAGAATGCTCTAAATTACAAATTGTACACAAGCAGAAAGTGTAAAATTCGCTGAAAATTGCATCCATTTCTGTTGTTGTCCAAGATGCCTTTGATGAATAAGAGCAATGCAATCAAAATAATCAAATAAATTTTAAACAAACTCTTTGTAAAACAAGTTCCAAAGCATATATCGACCCTACCTACTTTTATGGACAATGGAAGAGAAAAAAATCCAGGTCATAATTGGCAAAACAGATCGCCCTCCTCTCTGATTTTCAGGTCAGCAGTAATCAAGAATTCCAGTTGTCTGCTAGTAGCCACGAGTTGGCGCTCATTATCATACCGAAGTACAGATGAGCTTCTTAGCGTTTTAGTACATCAGGGGAGTGTTTCACAGAGACTAAGATTGACTTTACGTTGGACTTAAATATGGCAGGCCGTTCATTCCACTGTTTGCTCTCATTATTATGATCTTAAGATAATATTTTTTCCTTCCATAATGAATTGTCCAAAAAATGTAAATTCTGTAGATTTGTGACCATGATTTGTACGAGCCTGGAGGGCCCCAGGTCTTACAGGTGTATAGCTGATATTTTAAATACCAGCATAGAATCACAAACACACAACGTGAATGGTGATTTGGTTACTTATCATGAGCAATAAACAACACAAATCCACTTACTTGGAGGGATAGTGAGCTTAGATGTAAGAGAGACGATCGGCTGCACAAGACTACTCCTATTGGCTACCGTCACCTCATAGAATTGGACTGCATTCAAAATAGAAGGAAAAAGGAAATGAAAATCACATCAATAAAAATCTTTTAAATCCCCTCTGCACTAGTTTGACCCGGAGGGATTAGACCTCCCTGCAAGGTCAGTGACAGGTGGTTATCTCATCAAATCAGCTCTCAATTAACATAAGAAAAAGGGGACCTTGGGGGACCAATGGTCACCGCTTAGGCATTGTTTCTGATATAGAGGGCGCAAGTAGTGCAGTGGGGCTTTAAAAGGGTTCCTGAGATGGTATACGTTTTGAGGTGTCATGGTCTGATAGATAACGCACTGAACGGTGGATCACACTTCTCGTGGTTCAAGTCTAAGCCTGCTACTAATGTCCCTTTGCAAGATATTAATCTACATTTGCCACTCTCCACCCAGGCGTAGTCTGTGATTTTCTGAATTTTTTTCTTGAGCGCTTTCAGCTCCTCAAACTGTCAGGACCTATGTATACCCCCTCCCACCACCAGAAACAAAAATTGGTTGTTGTACGATAGTTGTCATTTTGACAAGTGTTACGCAACATTCGACCATCGTCTTCTGGGCTATTAGGTCAACAGCAGTAAAGCTGGGATAACAGTAGGCCTGTCCTAACTAGCTCGAGATTGCCAAATATCCCGCTATTTGAACTATCCTGATTCTAAACTATCCAGCTAATTTGCATCTTCATCAGCCCGAAGTTGCAATTAGCAGGATATTTGGTCGGGATTGTCATCCCAAGATATCTTGGGATAGTTTGCAAAATATCCCACTATTTGGCAAAATATCCAGCTATTTGTCCGGTGCGTCTTCACCAGACCAAAGACTTGCACTATGCGTGAATGCTGAGCAAAATATCTTGAGCTTTCGAGGTCAAATCGCGAGCTGATGGAGACGCGATTTGTAACTTCAGGATTATTTTCCAAATCAGAAATAGCGGGCTATTTGGCAATCTCGAGATGATGAAGACACGCCTAGTAAAACTACTAAAAATTAAAGAGAAATTTTGCTCCGAGTCTAAATAGAAATTTGGACAGGCTAGATTTCGAGTGGTGAGTCGATTTCCTCCGTGTAAGTGAGCTGCATGATACGGGTGAGTGAGCTGAAGACACGGGAGAGCTTCGGCCGACAAAGTGCTATGCGTAGGGGCATAATTTATCGAGACTGAAAAAAACAAAATCAAACAAACTCTCTTCCCTTTAAACTTCAAATAGTAGATCCTATTCTTTATTTCGCATTATGTAATTCATGTCGAGACACAGAGATTTTCGAAAAAACCACTAAAAAGTAGCATTTTGAGGACTCAAAATATCCTGTACCTGTGTATAAGATCACCCCCGAGCTTTAAATTTTTTCGGGCAGAAAAAAAGTGTGTCTTATACACAGAGATTTACGGTATATATTTTTTGTTGTTGAAGTATTTACTGATTTAGACAAAATCTACTAACCAAACATCATCTAAATTGTTTACAGTGACACTTCTCAACAATTTCTTACCCTATCTCATTATAAAATTAAAAAAACAAAAAAACATGAACATTTTGACTGGGTGTATGTCCTGCCAGGCACATTGAATTCTATGGAATGACAACTTACAAAGTTAAGAAATGAGAAAACAAGGAAATAAAAATAGGAAAATGATCAAAACAATGTGGCACAGGTAGATTACTCGTGTGGCATGTAAAGGGTTAACTTACTTTTTTCTTTGACGGCCCAGTCACTGGCTGTTCTGAACTCTACTTGCCTCTGATGATTTAGGTCGACTTTATTACCAATCATCACCACCGATATCTAAGAGAGAGAGGGAGGGAGAGGGAGAGAGAGAGAGAGAGAGACAGAAACCAAATATATTCAATACTTTGGTGGGATTTTGTGTTTTGTCTTGATCTTGTGCCAGATTTTTTGTGGGATATTGTTGACCATTGATGCAAATGGAGGGGAAAATAATGATAATAAGATGGATTTATATAGCAAAATATAATTTGTCTCTAAGTGCTTTACAGATATCATTATCCCAGTCATCGGATTCACTCACGCACAATTAGCACCAACTCCACTCCCTGGGGAGTATTCTAACCATATGACACTGTGAGGGCATATGGCAATTACAGTATTTCTCTCCTGGGTATGGAGTGGCAAATGTAGATTAATACCTTGCCAAAGGAAAGTAGTGCAGTGTAGGGGATCGAACCCACAAGCTTTGCATTTCAAGGCAAGTGCTTAAACCACTCGACTACGACACCTATAAATATATGGTGTTCCAGCATCCCAGAGGTGCTCAATATACAGTTTAGGAGTCAAAAAGAAAAATCGGCATGAAACATGTCAAATTTAGCCTCGTCATTTTCTCTTGTATCAACATCTACATGTGCAAGATAATTTCATATTTCATCCATGATTTCCTGTGAATTTTGTAGTAAATATCAGAAAAGAACACACAGACCTTGTCTTATAAAGAGTTGATATTAATCGCAACTATGTACATAAGAGATAGGGAACTGTATACTTGCGATTGACAAGCGGATTTGCTATTGATTTGGATCAATCACACTTCTTTATAAGACGGGGCCCAGATCAGAACTATACACTAGGACCCCATGCAACAATCTCAGCTCTTCGTTTAGCGATAGCATGTGTGTTGGATTCTGACAACCCCCACAGGTTTTACATGTCTGAAGTTAGACACTGTTGGAATTTTCATCCCAGGGGGGTGTTTCACAAATATCCTAAATTGAACTTAACTCTAAGTTGGACTGAAAAATTACGGAAAGTAGTAGTAATGGTTGATTGAAATAAAAATCAATCGCGGCTCGAAAGCCGAATTTCAGGTTTTGTACAATAGTAAAAAGCCGTTAGCATCTTTGAAAATATTTTGTAAAAGTTATTTTAAAAGGCATAACATGTTAATTCAAATCATTCAAATTTTCTATATCAAGGAGATTTCATGTTCTTGCTGTGTAACTTATGAAAAGTCTAAAATACTTATTTTGTTTTTGAAGGCTAAAAATGGCTCTCGACAATATTCTATTAAAATGCTTCTATTAAAACCAAAAGAATACCACGGTGGACTTTCCCTTTAAATGTAATACATACCTCCTTCTTGTCCTTGTCTTTGAGCTTATCAATCTCTTTCTTGATGTGTTCAAGCATCTTGAAGGACTCCTGACTGGTAGTGCTGTATACCAATAAGAACCCCTGCAACAAGATAATTCACAGAGAAACCAAGTTAAGACATACAGCTTTAAAAGCCGACGGTATTAGTTTGGCTAGGAGGAATTAGACCACCCAGGGTGGTCACTGACAGGTGGCTATCTCATCAACTCGGCTCTCAATTAATATAAGAAAAAGAGGATCATGGGGGACCAATGGTCACCGATTAGGCATTGTTTTCTATATACAGGAAGCAAGTAGCTACAAGAGGTACAATGGGGCTTTAAACGACCCCCATATTTTGGAAGAGACATTTGTATCAAAAAGCTACCATTAGATTGTTAAAACAAAAGCTCAATTTACATGGATCTCCACACAAATATTGTAGTAGGGCATGTGGGTTTAAATTCTCATGTTCTGTATGGATGAACCATGGTCAAAATGTGACATGGGGCTGGGGTGGGTCTAGACTTAGATTTCTATCTATGTTCCATAGCTTGGAGGCCATTGTTGGGGCAACAAAAGAAATAGAGTGGTGAAGTGTGATCTCATAACAAAATCTATTTTTAGAAATTCTCAATTTTGTCTTCATTTTCCTAAAGAGCACCAAAAATAATGTCCAAATGTCGAAAAAGAATTTAATATGTTAAGTATTGGCTGACATATGACCATCTGAATAAATATATGTCCTATGGGAACTCATTGTTATATGCTCTGGCTCCTGTGACGTCACAGCTTCGGTACTCTATAGACTTCGAGACACAGGTTTTCAGCTGATTTAGTTAGCTGCTCAAATGACATACCCATCCACTGCTTGATGTTATCATCACGTGTCCTAGTTGGTCTACCCCTCTTTCTACTTCCATCACTTATATTTACCGGTAGGCACACATAATCTACATCCAAATTGTAACTCTAATCACTACCATCACCACATCCTGCCAGAAAAATATATTGAATGCATATTCTCCAAAAGTTTTATGTCATCTGTTCACTGCACATATTTTTGTCCTAACACATATCTAAACGATTCTGCATAAAGTGTAACGGATGTATCCAAAGGGTTAATATATGAGACATGTTAAAGAGCAGAAGAACAGCCAAACCTGCTTTAGTGACCACCTGTCTTTAAAAGACTGCATTTTTTGTTTCCCTCTAATATAGTTTCTCATTGACACCTGTATTATAGGAACCTGTACATAAAGACCACCTGCTCATAAAGACCGCTTTTCATGTTTCCCTTGAGCGGTCTTTATAAACAGGTTTCACTGTATAACTTACATCTGCCATGCTGAGATACTGCTTGGGGAGATCTGGATTGATTGAAGTCTGGAGAAAAAAAGAAAATGGCAATAACAATGAAGATAGCAATGACACTGTGATTAACAATGACAAGGGTGATATTGCATATCAACAATGGTATCCCAGCCCGGCACTAACGTCCTTTGGCAAGACATTAATCTACATTTGCCACTCTCCACCCAGGTTTTAAATGGGTACCTGATAGGATGCGAAGGTTACTGTAGTTTGCTCAGCAATGTGAGCATGTGTAAAATGGTGCCTGGCTTGAATGCTCCCCAAGGAGTGGAAAATGTGAAAACAATGTTTGCGGGCAAGCCTGAATCCGATGACTGGGGTAATGATATATCTGTACAGCGCTTAGAGACATCATCGATATATTAAGCTATATTAAATGCGGAATATTATTATTATTATTATGATATTAAATGCGGAATATTATAATTATTATTATTATGATTTGAATGACAAGACAATTCAAAAGGTAATGACACTGATAATGGCACTATCATCCACATTGTCAATGCAGTGAAATATTTCGGACGACACAGTCAATGACGTTATCGATAATGCTGTTCATGGCAAAGGCTAGAACAAGATCAAAAAACAAAATGACAACAAATGCACCAAAGGTATATGATTTCACAACACACATTTCAACTTCAGGAATTCAACAATGACATGTCATACAGCAAGAAACATTGCCACTCTGCGTGATAGATCTGGCAAATTTTCTGGCAACTTTTCATTAGTGTTTCACTATATTTTTGTTAGAATTTTGCAGATCTATCCAAACCACTGCATATCAAATCACAATAATATTTAGCCAGTTTCTATTGAAATGCAATTCTACCCTCAGAACTTCTCTCAATATTTATTTAAAAACAATCATGAGTTTTAAAAATAATCATAAAATTGGAATAATTCATTTTTTAATTTGCAAGATCTGCCAACAATAAAGCCTATAACCTCATTCTGGTTTATCATGATGTAATTGTAATATGCTTCAAATTTTTGTATCTTATAACACAGAGTTGTGAAAATGCGGAGGACTTTTCTTGCCAACAGTTTTCATTCGTTTAGACATAAAATCAGCGTGGCATACATGTACATGTATCTTACCAAGCCCTTGGTGTCGTAAAACCTGACTCTTTCTCTGCTTCCTCTATTCGTCTCAATGTTGGCTACGTAAATGTCTTCAATCGTAGGACAAGTAGTTTCCTATAAAAAAAATATTAAAAAATGGTTTCATCGTTTGTTCTGAAATTTCTCACAGAATCAACCAAAAACTTACAGCTCCTCGCAAAAGTCTCTCCTAACTACCCCTCAATTAAGCACAAAGTTTGGGTCACGCACGTTTCAGGTTGAATCAGCAGAGCTTTGACATAAATTGCCAGAAAATATTAAAAATTGTGAACATTTCTTTGTAGTAAATATCCAATTATTAACAAGGACTTCAGGGAGTGTGCTGAGTGTCTCACTCTTCCCAATATTATTTTTTTATTTTCGTTCTCTCCACTACACTGCATACGGACATACGAGCCATACGCGCCATATAAGTATGGCATATTATTATTTGTCAAAGGATTTGTTAACTTGGAGCTGGGGCCAGATTAAACTCAGCAAAGCTGAATTGATTCGCAAATCCTTGTGTTGATATTTGCACAAAGTATGTGCTTCAAAACATCCTTAGTCAGAGATTGCTGACAGAAATGTTCAAACAATTAGATAAATTGGTTATCTCCTCAAAGTGACTCCGTATATAGATTAATGAAAACCCCTATGATAAAGATAAAAAGGCGATGATAATGATGATGACGATGTAATGATGATGATGTTATGAGAGTGATGGTGATGATTATGGTATGATGTTGTTGATGATGATGTTGATGATATGATGATGTTGATGATGATGATGATGATGATGATGATAATGACAGTGATGATGATGATCACTGATGGTGATGATTTGAAGATGATGACATGAAGATGATAGTGATGACGATTATTGATGGTATGATATTGATGCTGACGATATAATGAGGATGATGTAATGATGATGATGAGCGTACGATGACAGTGATGGTGATGATAGCGATATTACAGGTATAAACCAGTTCTGGTCATGTGATTGCATTGTGAAAGAAACGTTGTGGAATTGATCAGAAAAGGTTGATCATCTAGCATATAACTATTGGTTCTGCAAGGTTCTGGAATCATCAAGATGATAAGAAATTTGGCCCAGTCTTGGTAAAGTTACAACCACTGTACACAGAAAGATGTATATGGGACCACTCTTTATCTACCCAGTCCTGATAGATGTAATAATTTACCAAATATATCAATTAGTAGGCTGTTTCCCGGCAAAATTTGTATCATCACGTATCAGTCAAAACATATTCTTTCACATGATTGGTAATAAGAGCTTCCATTTCATTTTTTGAGAGGGGGGCATTTCCAAAACTGGTCTCTACCTTTAATGTTAATAATAATGATAAAATGCTTTAACAATAATGAAATGATCGCAATAATAGTCGTGGTGGATACTTACCTGTCCGACACGGTGTGTTCCATAGATGACCTGCTCCAAGACGGCAGTCTTCCCCACTCCCGCTGACCCGCACACCACGACTTTGCATATCTTGCCCATGATCAATGCAAGTTCAAGTCTGGAAAGAAAAGAAAAGAAAACTTGCATTATGATAGGGGAGGGGTCATGAGCTACACTCTTTATTTTCAAAGGCTTATAAATTACATGGGTTTTTAAATGGGTCCTATGGGACCCCCTTAACCCTGCCCCACCACACTATCTACGGGATCTTCATCACCACGATGGCGAGGTGTGGACTATATTCAAGGTATATTCATAAATGTATATGTAATTCGGTCTATAAGGCAAATTTTATACTGTACATTGTTTTCATTGGTTCTGCATACTGGTAAAGTGTAGGTATTTATAGGAATTCAAATTGTAGAGAAAACTGGCCAGACACATGACAATCATGCACATTTCAATTTGAGTTGATATTCAACAAAATAAACAGGTTCTAATGAATACAAATCTAAGGCTGACTATTAGGCCTAAAGTTAACTTTGCTCATATTTCCCACTTATGATAACATCCCCCCTTGAGTAAAAAAGAGGCAAAAAAAAAAAATGGCATCTAACAACATTCCCTCCATTTTGAGTAAGAAAAATTGGGAAATAATAGGGAAAAATCAGGAAGAATATAGAAACTCAGGCGAAAATCAGGAAAATCGTGAAGAAAAAGAAAATAGGGAGTTTTTTTTTTTTATAATCGGGAAAAAAAATCCAAAACAAAATCAGGAAACCGATTTACCAGTAAATCAGATTTTCATCAGGCCTGAAAATGAGTACTAGATAGAACCTAGTCTATCAAACTTAATAAGAGTCTAGTCTACTAGTACTACCCAATGATTCATCCATGTTTTATCGTTGATTCAACATGGCGAAGAGAAAGTACGCATGTGCGGTAGTGGCGGAGCAAATATGAATATTCATGATATAGAGTGAAGTTTGCTAGAAATTACTGAATATGCAAGAGGTTGAGAAGGTTGATTCATGCATATTCAGCACTTTCGAAGTGAACAACGCTCTATAATATGATTGTTCATAATTGCTGCGCCACTACGGTGCATGCGTACCTTCTCTTCGCCATGTTGAATTGACGATACAACATGGATGAATGATGAATCGTCCGGTTAGGAATAGGTTGAAGAATCACCCTTTTTTCCTATTGAAGACTTCTTCAAATTTTAATCTCAAGTGGTTGGAAAGATGGCCAGAGGAGTTGAAAAACATTGTAAGTCAAAATTGTAACGACTTCCTCTTTACATTGTGAAAAACTGTGAACCAACCTGCCGTTTGAATCGGAGCTCCCTGGTGTTAGTACTTTCTTTAGTAGCAATATATCTATGATCCAATTCTCTCATTAAATCATCAACATTTGCTCTTCAAATATATTTGGCCCATATAGATCTAGATATTAAAATAGATTTTAAAATAAATGATAACAGAAGTCATTGCAGGTTATTTTTTCTGGTTCAGCATCAGGCAAAATGTAGGACCGCAGTAATAGATCTACATTACTTTAGACATGATAATAGCTTCCCAATCGATAGTTTCATGCACGCTCACGCGCCCCTTCGTCGGTACGGTGTAATTGTGCAGCAGTTTGCTGTGAAATCTGTGAGAAAGTAAATATTGTCTTAGACTACTCTTAGGTTTTAGGAAAAATTCTCCAAGAAAGTAAGAAAATTGTCACAAGAAAGGTTTAGAAATATAACAATTAACGACCTTATATCTAGACCATTATTTGGACAATTGATGAAGATAAGGGGTAAGTTGGTTTTTGGGTATGATTTAGTAGGGTATCTCCACGCTGGAGTTACGGGTCAAAATGGATAAGAAAGTACACTAACGCCAAGCTCGCTTCCCTCATACCTAGAGAGGGCAGGCGCACGTCAATATCGCCGAGCCTGTCCCATCCCGTGAGTAAGCTGTGCCTGTGCTCTATCCGCACGAGCACACTCACTCAGCTCAGTGCCATCGCCAGTTTTAATCAGCTCCGCAAACCCGACATTCATAACATTTTCAGTAAACAATTAACACATTTTATGTCTAAGATAGATATATAATGAAACTACCGTACTTAATTCTAAATTTCATGTCAGATATGTGTTCAGCAAATCAAAACAAAATTGGGCAGTTACGTACCAACACATTAGGACTTCACAGCCTCACTCCTTGTTGATGTATCAGAGATCTACTTCCGGTACCGGTACGCCGAGCGTACAAGGGGGAGCTGGAGGGAGGCGGGGGAGGGAGGCGGGGGCGGCCCTCGATCTTCTCCGTATTCATGTTCTCAAAATCTCCTGTAAATGGGTAATTTTCACACAACAAAGTCCGGCTCCTAATACACAACAAATCGGCCCGTATTGACTTTACACACCGGACTTGGGATGGGGGTGGGGTGCTTTCTTTCAAAGGGAGGGAACATGCATACGATATACGCGTACCCTAAATAAAACTAATTGGGGGTGCATGCAGTGGCGGATACAGGGGGGCCCGGCCCCCCCCCCCTGGCAAAAAAAAAGGGAAAAAAAAGAAGAAAAAAAAAGAAGGAAAAAAAAAAAGAAGGAAATAAAAGGGTTAAGATATCAAAGGTATCAAAATATGCTCATCTTACCATAATTAAATGCCTAAAATCCATAAGTTTCCGGGCTCCACCTCCTCGACCAAACCAGGGGCACTAAGGCGGGCCCCTGCATGCTTGTCTGACCGTTATAAAATTCCTAAAACTCCTGAGCTTCTGGGGGCTCCGCCCCCTGGACCCCACGCCAATTCGTGACCTGCCAGTGTCACAAATAAGGTATAAAATTATGCTCACCTGACGATAAATTGATGTATAAACCCCTGAGCTTCTGAGGGCTCCGCCCCCTGGACCCAACACCAATTTGTGTCCTGCAAGTGTCACAAATAAGGTATCTAAATAAGCTCATCTGACAGAAATTATTGCCCAAAACCCCCTGAGCTTCCGGGGGCTCCGTCCCCTGGACCCCACGCCAATTCGTGACCTGCCAATGTCACAAATAAGGTATAAAATAATTATGCTCATCTGACGATAAATTGATGTATAAACCCCTGAGCTTCTGAGGGCTCCGCCCCCTGGACCCCACACCAATTCGTGACCTACCAGTGTCACAAATAAGGTACACTGTCGCTCATAAAGGTGGAATATTTTTTTTTAATTCCAATTTATGGAATTATTTTTAAAATAATTTAAAAATAAAAGATCTAGATAATAGTATACATTCTCAGATTTTATTCAATAATAATTTGCCAATGTGTGTTTTGCGTGACTGCTAAAGCATGTGTATGCTACTATGCTTATCAACTAGGGGACCTATGCCCTTAAGTCATAAATGACAGTAATGAGGATTAATGCCCCACAAAAGGGCACTAATATAGCACATCGACATGGTTTTGATCCTGGGTGCTCACAGTTACGAGGCCATTGCTTTGTCACTGAACCGTAACTGTACGCAGCGGGGGCTAGGGTAGGGGGCAGTTTCCATAAGTTAAAAAAACAACAGAAAATGCAATAAATTTTCAATAATTTATTGCAATTAACCCCGGTGCCTAACATACGAAAAAATTCTGTGTGCCCATGCCTTGAGCCATAATGCATGGCCGTCCAGAGGATTTTTTATGTTGGGGACCGGGGTAAAATGCAATAAATTATTGAAAATTTATTGCATTTTCTGTTTTTTATTTTATTTATGGAAACTGCCCCCTACCCTAGCCCCCACTGCGTACAGTCATGGTTCAGTGACAAAACAATGGTCTCGTAACTGTGAGGCCCCAGGATCAAAACCGTGTCGATGTGCTATATTAGTGCCCTTTTGTGGGGCATTAATCCTCATTACTGTCATTTATGACTTGAGGGCGTAGGTCCCCTAGTTAATAAGCATAGTAGCATACACATGCTTTAGCAGTTCCGCAAAACACACATTGGCAAGTTACAATTCAATAAAATCTGAGAATGTATACTATTATCTATATCTATTATTTTTTAAATAATTTTTAAAATAATTCCATAAATTGGGGTAAAACTAAAATATTCCACCTTTATGAGCGACAGTGTATAAAATTATGCTCATCCGACGATTTTGATGTGTAAAAACCCCTGAGCTCCTGAGGGCTCCGCCCTGGGAAAAAACGTGTTAATTTTACCTTTTTTTTGGAGATAGGCCCCTCCCCCTGGCGTTCAAGGGGGGGGGGGGGGGTGCGATTTTTCAAATTTCCGAGGGCTATAGGGTTAGGGTTAGGGTTAACCCTAACCCCCCCCCCCCCCCACACACTGAGCGAAATATTGGCCGGCACGATTTTCAAATTTCAGCACACTAAATTTCAAATTTGGGCCCCCACCCTTAAAAGGGGGGGGGGGGGTGAGCGAGATATAAGGTATTAAAGTAGATTAACCAGGGCTGTCAACTTTGGGAAACTACTTCGAGGGAGATCGTATGCAATTTTTTGGGGGGTTCAACAGGGAAAAGGGAAAGGGGAGGGGGGGGGGGGGGGTTGTTGAGTAAGAAAAAAAAATCGGAGTGCTCACAACCTCCCCCTCCCCCCCCCCCCACCCCGTTGAGCAAAAAAATCCATACGATATCAGGCGCGGATCCAAGATTGTCCAAAAGGGGGGGGGGGGTAGTCTGGAAATTTGAAAATTGCGCAGACTGTTTTTTCAACTCAACATACAAATATTGACAAGGTCATAGTAAAAGCACCATACCCAATTTTTGACATTTTCATCGGGGAGAGGGGGGGGGGGGGGGGCTATAGCCTCTTGCTCGAAAAAGAATTTTTTGGGTTTCACAATTCGGCTAGTGAGCGAAGCGAGCGAGCAAAAATGTAAGCATAATATGTATTTTGTGAAAGTGTTATTTATCACCAAAATAAACGAGAAAAGATATCAAAATTTATATTCAGGCAGCTCGCTGCCCCCCCCCCTTACGCCCGAAATGCAGAAATTTTAATGCTTCATTAAATTATTAGAGAAAGAAGAAGTTTGGTTGTTCCATTCTCGACTCTTAATCCTTCTCCGAATTCAGTTTCTCCCCTCCCTCGCGAAGCGCGGAAGCTTTGACCTTCCATTTATTATTAGAGAAAGAAGAAGCTTTGTTGTTCCATTCTCGACTCTTAATCCTTCTCTGAATTCAGTTTCTCCCCCTCCCACGCTTTGCGCGGAAGCTTTGACCGTCCATTTATTATTAGAGAAAGAAGAAGCTTTGTTGTTCCATTCTCGACTCTTAATCCTTCTCTGAATTCAGTTTCTCCCCTCCCGCGCAAAACGCGGAAGTTTTGAAATTTCATAGTTTAATGAAATTATTAGAGAAAGAAGATGGTTCGTTGTACCATTCTCGACTCCTAAACTTTCTCTGAATTCAGTTTCTCCCCTACCGCGCGAAGCGCGAAAGCTTTGACCTTATTAGAGAAAGAAGATGATTCGTTGTTCCACTCTCGACTCTTAAACTTTCTCTGAATTCAGTTTCTCCCCTCCCGCGGAAAGCGCAGATGCTTAACGTTTCATTAAATTATTAGACAAAGAAGACTATTCTTTGTACCGTTCTCGACTCTTAATCCTTGTCTGATGAATTCAGTTTCCCACCTCCCGCGCGAAGCGCGGAAGCTTTGACGTTTCATTAAATTATTAGAGAAATAAGACGATTTGTTGTACCATTCTCGACTCTTAAACCTTGTTTGAAAGCAGTTTTTCACCTCCCGCGCGAACCGCTTAAGCTTTGACGTTTCATTAAATTATTAGAGAAATAAGACGATTCATTGTACCATTCTCGACTCTTAAACCTTGTTCGAAAGCCGTTTTTCCCCTCCCGCGCGAAGCGTAGAAGCTTTGACGTTTCATTAAATTATTAGAGAAATAAGACGATTCATTGTACCATTCTCGACTCTTAAACCTTGTTCGAAAGCCGTTTTTCCCCTCCCGCGCGAAGCGCGGAAGCTTTGACGTTTCATTAAATTATTAGAGAAATAAGACGATTTGTTGTACCATTCTCGACTCTTAAACCTTGTTTGAAAGCAGTTTTTCACCTCCCGCGCGAACCGCTTAAGCTTTGACGTTTCATTAAATTATTAGAGAAATAAGACGATTCATTGTACCATTCTCGACTCTTAAACCTTGTTCGAAAGCCGTTTTTCCCCTCCCGCGCGAAGCGTAGAAGCTTTGATGTTTCTTTAAATTATTAGAGAAAGAAGACGATTCGTTGTACCATTCCGGACTCTTATTCCTTGTTTGAATGCAGTTTTCCCCCTCCCGCGCGAAGCGCGGGATCTTTGATGTTTCATTTAATTATTAGAGAAAGTAGAGGATTCATTTTACCATTCTCGACTCTTAATCCTTGTCTGAATTCATTTGCCCCCTCCCGCGCGAAGCGCTTGCCCCCTCCCGCGCGAAGCGCGGAAGCTTTGACGTTTCATTAAAATATTAAGAGAAAGAAGACGATTCGTTGTACCATTCTCGACTCGTATTCCTTGGCTGAATTCAGTTTTCCCCCTCCCACGCTAAGCGCGGGATCTTTGAACTTTCATAGTTTAATGACATTTTCGAGAAAGAAGATGATTCGTTGCTCCATTCTCGACTCTTAATCCTTCTTTGAATTCAGTTTCTCCCCTCCCTCGCAAAGCGCGGAAGCTTTGACGTTTCATCAAATTATTAGAGAAAGAAAACTATTCGTTGTACCGTTCTCGACTCTTAATCCTTGTCTGAATTCATTTGCACCCCCTCCCGAACGAAGCGCGGAAGCTTTGACATTTCATTAAATTATTGGTCAAAGAAGAGGATTAGTTGTACCGTTTTCGACTTGTCAGATTTTCAAAAATGTTTCTTTGTCTGCTCCTTTTTCGTCGTATGTCCTCTTACTGCCCCTACTGCCCCTGGCTAAGCGCCTGCTTTAAAGGGAAAATGAAACAATCATGATTGTGATAGCACACAATAATGTAGAAATGAAAGAAGTTTTGTGTTATCGGGCGAGGGCCGGGGCGTAGCGAGCAAGCGAGATTTAGCAATGTTGAATGCTGAAATTATGCATTCTAGAAAATCCCTAAGCCCAATATGTACGTTCTTTCCGCTATATTTCTTTCTAGCTACATTTCTAAATTTCCTGGGGGACGTGTCCCCTATCGGGCCCAGGATTGCCGCCCCTGTCCATGATTACTACCAACATGAGTTCAAATACAAGCACAATCGAGTTGGTAT